TGTATTTCTATTTGAAATTTTTGCTGGGAATTTTAAAATTCTGTTGTTTATTTTTGAATTTTTAGTTAGCTGCCCCTGGGTATAATTCACCAAAAAAGCAGAATAGAAATGTATTAAAAAATGCCTTCTTGGCTCAACAGCTATTTACCTAGGTAGAGGAATATGGAAAGTACAAGACTTCATGAAAGTGGTTTAAGATTTTTCAACCTTGAAAAAAAATGTTATTTAGAAATGCTCATTAAAATTGGAAAAATGCCAGCAACTGCAAATATATGGTATTTCATTTAATTCAGCAGCACCTGGAAATTAAAAGTGGCATTATTTATCTAGATAAAATTTAGTTAAAAACAAAAAAACCCACATGGATTTCAGTATGCCATCTCTTTGATTTATATTTTGATAATCTAACTCAGGCTTGTTTCACAATTATTTTATACTGCACGCATAATTATGTTTTGTCTTCTCGAAGATGGATGAAGAACTGAATATGAATAAAGTAAGTATGCTACAGCAGCATGTTGCTAGTACAGTTACATTGAAAATATATTTTTTTGTATTTTTATCAGTTGATTATGTTAAACATAATGAAATATTACATCCACATAAGGCCAGCAACTGCTAAAGACGGAGCACAGGAGCAACTTAAACCAGTTTCACTCTACAGTTGGAATCTTTCTTATCTTTAAGATTCTAAATGTACAACAAATCCTAGTTAAAAGTGATTATCCTATGCTATCAATGGTTGTTAACCATCTATCAAATATCAATTGTCCTCTCTGCTGCCCTTATTCATACACACTTCTTTATTTGCTCTAAAAAGGTATTCCACTCTAGGTTGGGCTTGGGAATTGTCCAGGGGTGTGTTTGTGAGATACATTAAAAACATTTTCTTCTGACAGAGAACATCTGCCGTAACTGGCTTCACCAATTGCTAAACTTTGTTACATGGTGACAACCTCATAGGTTTTATCTTATTCGAACAACTAATATCCTGCTTTATTATATAAGGGACAATTATGTCCCTTAACGTCTCTGAAAATGAGAAAGATGTTGAATAAAGACAGTGATGCAATATTAACAGGGTGGGGCCCAAACCCTCAAAATTGTATGATGATTCCGGAAGAGTCTTTCAGAAGCAGATGATGATTCTGTCGAAAAAGTTACAATCTTTCTGATCAAATCTGACATTTTCTAACATGATCCCTTTAATTTTAAGCTCTTTTCCTGGTCCTTTGGAACTACCAGCGATTATAATTAATAGTGGCCCACATTAGCTATCTTCAAACTGCTAAGCAATCCTATAGTATTTTTATGAATGGAACAGATTCAGCTGTTGATGAGTTGCAGATGGTAATATAATCTTAAAATAATGAAAAACTTAACTTTTCTGACATTGATAGAAAGACATTGATTTTCAGTAATGTGGTTTGATGTGGAGATGTTTTAAGATTAAGCAAATGCTTGTCAGAATGAATTCTAATGTGCTAAAAGACAGTTTGAATATTTAAGAGTATGCAAAATGACTATACCATATCAAAATTCATTTTGACAAATCTTTATATAGCATAGGGCTACATTAGCTTAAGGATATACAGTTTACCACTTTTCTAAAGGTGGGGCTTACTGAATTTATTTCTTCATATGGAAAAAAGTAAAACAAAAACCAAATCCAGAACACAAAAAAATTAAAAGCAATTAAAAGTGGAAGCTTGTTTAATATTGCTCTACCATCATCCTGAAAGGCATAATAATTTGAGTTACACATCTGAACTGATTGGAGTTACAGAACCATATCTCCTTTTTGCATTTAACAATATATACAATATAAAATAAATACATTTACACAAATGGACATTGGTTGGAGCACACATTATGATACACATCACAAAAATATACAGTTGATTGCTTTACAGATGTGAAGCCCATCTACAACTTTAGACATGATTTTTTTTTCATTTGTGTTTTTACTACTGGTTATTATGCAACTCCTGGATTATAATAAGCAGCTTAATTCGGTTTTCCCCTCTTTTGAGATCTTTGCACAATAAGACTGCCATAAAGTGTTTTCCTAGGCAGGTAAACAGAGACGTTTAAATAATTAAAATACAATTACCAACACCCATTTTCTCTTCTATAAGAAAAATAGCAGTTTTAATTTTTTATATTTTTTATGTTAGCATTTAAATGCAAAATAGTGGAATAAATACAACAATCTGATTTGATTGAAACAAATGTGCAACTTCCAGGAGTCACACAATCATATTGCTTTAAATAAGAGAGAAAGAAAAAGAAAACAGTAGCCCAGGTTACAATCCATTAGGAATGTCTGCTGCACATCGAACTGAATGGAGAAAACATACTGGATGAGAGAGGTCTTACACCACCACACCCTGTCATTTCAATTGCTTGTGCAGGAGAAATGCTCTATGGATTTTATGCCCTGAAATAAAACATGTTATGATAAAACATACACCTTTTGAAATTCTTCCCCAGTACTTCACTTTAAATAAGTGGTTGTGGACATTTATTTCAGCAAGGTTTAAGAAGAATGTTATTCTAATGCCTGTGCAGCGTATCTATGTTTCAGTTAATGTTTGTACAGCCACGAGATATTTGTTCATTGCAGCTCTAAAAATTATTGAAAAATCAAATGAAAAATTACGCTGTGTTCCTGTAACATATCTCATTTCCTCTTAAGTCTTTGTACGTTTGTCCTTCTTTCTGAACACGATGATGGGATATTGACCCTGAAAACCCAAGTTCTTCAATGTGATCCAGTGAAAACAATATTTATATTAGATATTTATATATACATATATAATGTAGGTAACACTTGCAACTTAAACCCTGCACAAATTTTCTGGAAAATAATTATTCTCAACTCTTACATATATATATAAATAATTTTATAGAATCAGCATCGTTTCTTGCCCCCCCAGGAGTTGTAAGGTTTTACCATTTTTCAAAAGGGACTTCCAATTTTCAAACTCCTATCACACCGTGAATTTCAAGTTATTTGGCCAACTGAATGAACTGCTAATGACAATTTATCTAGGATCACACAACAGTCACTTCTCTACTGAGAAAAACACAATCTACAAGAAAATTCCCATACAGTTAATGAAAGATACACAGTTTTCCTAGCACAAGGTTGCTGCAGTGTTAACTGCAGTATTTCGTTTAAAGCACACAAGTAGCGATACTTTTGGAAACGTGTCTGCGTAAAAAAAAAAAAAGACTTAGCAACAACACAGAGCAAGTTAATAACATGGGAGAGATGAAAGCTATATTTACAGCATTTAAAAATTAGACTTACCTATAATTTTGAAGTATTCAAAGTTTATTTCTAAGCTATACATAGGTATTCTATAATAAACTGTTACAGAAATTATCCCTTGCTTTGAAAATATTTCAGTGTGACTTTTGTCCGTGATGAGTACTTGGTTGGATTTTGCTTTCCAGTTTCTTAATTATTACTATGAAGAACCTTATTACCAGAAGGAATAGAATATACTACTGTAGTCTCCTGAGGAAATTTACATCCAATATTGTCTCTAATTCTACCCTGTGTCTATAAGCACACACCACAAGAATCCAAACACCACAGAACAAGACAACAGTCTTTGAATGCAACCTAAAAAGTTCCAAAAAGCACAGCAAACATGAAACACTGAGAAGCTGAACTACATTTCTTTTGTTGGTTAGGAATACAATTTAATTACATTTGTGTACATAGAATAAGGTTGTTCACATAGCACAGGGAGCAGCTACTAACACTGGTGCATTGGCATAGCATTGGAAGGAGATTCCTGTTCCCAGGTTATTTAGTGACTGTACTTTGGGGGGGGGGGGCATCTAATTAGTTTAAACATTAGATTACACCTCTTAACAGTCTTGAAACTGACCAACTTTGACATCCTGACAACAACGGTTGAAAAAGTAGGTATACTGGTTAGGCTGTTTGTTTAAAAATGGCATTCTACAGCTATATAAAATATAAAGTTTTATAAATTGATAAATAATGTGTACAAGTGCTAAGTTCTAGAGGTTGATCAGAGGTTGACTACTCTGATAATCTGATTTTTTTTCCTTATTGCTAGACGGAATAGGGTGGACTTTACTGCAAAAGTCCCAGTTTTGTAAATGATAGGCCACCTTATAGAGTAATACAGAATCTCAAGTCATAATTACACTTGGCCATACAGAAGCACTTACTAACCCCTTTTTTAGATTCCTATTTGACATGACACATATAAACTATTTGGAAATGTTGTAGGTGTAATCTAATTTGTTGGTTTCAGTGTACATTTAGATATAAACTGGAGCTCATGCAAATAAATGGGATGTCCTAGACCAGACTGGCACACAACATAAATTGCATCCGTGATAATATGCACCTTCCCTTCAACTATTGCTTGAGTAAGATAAATTCCCACATTAACAAATGGCTGAAACGTGGTAAAGCTGGTAGAAAAGAAATCTTCCATTAGTAAGAAGAACTAAAATTTTGTTTTAAAAAAATCTTCCTGCAGGATTCATTTGTCCTTAATTAAATGTTCATAATTGTTCAAGCCAGCACAAAAAAAAGCAGTATTTATCTTTCCTTTCTTTAGTATTGCATGAATGAATAAAGCTCAAACTATTCCCTGAAAAAGTTACATTGTAGCTAACCTAAGAAATATCTGGAAGACTTGAAAAAACAATGAAGGAATCAAATGGCTGTAACTGATCTAGATGGAAATGCAATGATAAGGAGCAGCCAATGCGTTGCCGTCGAAGTTGTCTAATTAGCGGCTGCTCTTGTGAAACATAATACTGCATTCAGTCTGTTCATCGTGTTGTACTGTACTGCTAGTTACGATGCTTCGCTTTTGATTCCTTTGTCATTGGGGTATGGTGGTTCGCAAGAAGTTCACTGGCATCATATATATA